CATCTTCAGTCAAAACGCTGATATGAAACGATACATAAGTCTAATGATTGTATTGCGTTTGTGGCGAGTGATAAGAGTGGTTCACGGGATCATTATATCAGTGAGAATGCCATTGGAGGCCGTCATTAAAGAGGAGAGACTTCGCAGACATAACATTGAGATAGAGTTGTCCGAAACGCGGGCTTATGTCTCGTCTTTAGAGACAGAAGTGCGACAATTGCGGACAGTTTTGGCCACAAATGGTGTCTCCAATGGTTTACCGAAAACTTGTGTTAAAGTCGTGAATAATAACCAAAAACCAAATCCTAAATAGTTTTGCATTGTTTTGACTTTTTATAATACTATAGTAGAAAACTATGACTTTTGTAATAACTATCATTTGAAACATAATTTGAATAAATTTACAAATAATTGTAATTCAGTAATGATTATTATACTAAAAAAATTAGACAAATATGTGCTGCAAATTGTGAATAACTATAATATAGTTTTATTTGCATTTATTATATCAACCCATAATTATTTATAATTACAAATTTATCAAAACATTTGTTGAGTTTAATTAGCAATGAAGACAAATGTAAAGCCAGTCTTCTATTGTTTGCACAAAATGAAGACATCAAGCATTTGATGACAACACAAAGCAGTGGTTTATGCACTCAATCCATGGGCTCTATTGATATCTTCATTCAGTGACGCCTTTTCTCTCTGTATTTCTTCATACTTTTGAAGCGAGAGCTCAAGAATTGATTTCTCTTTTGACTCTTCAGATATATATTTCTGTCGTAATGTCAACAAAATATAAATTTCTGCACAAATCGCTGTATAATAAAAGTTAACTAAAAAACAAATTCAAACCTTAATGAGCGGTAAATCGGAGACCACTTCCGAATGGATTTCATCCAAAAGCTGTGAGTCTTGTGAATGAATGACATAAAAGAGTTGCACTAAAGCCGAAGCGTCGCTCACAGACTCTCTTAAAATGTAATCATTTAATAATTTGTCGATTTTTGAATTGAAGGCCAAATAATAGCAAAATGGACCGAAATGTCGGGTCGATTGGAGAGACCCGAACTGACTGTTGGCCACAATGTGTTCGTATGTCGTGTGACATATCTCTATGTATTTGGGATCGTTTGGCTCCAACTGAAGACACGCCCGATTCAACACAAACTCGTATTCGTGTCGATCCAACACATTCTGCCCGAAGACACCGATTAAGACATTAGTTCTTT